TACTACTACTACTACTACACCTACTATACTACTACTACTACTCCTACTACTACTACTACTACTACTACTACTTACTATACTACTCTACTACTACTACTTACTACTACTACTACTATACTACATATATCTACTACTACTACTACTACTACTACTATAATCACACTATCTAAACTACTACTACTTATAAGCTGACTGAACACACTACTACTAACTACCTACTACTACTATACTCTACTACTACTTACTACTACTACTATATCTACTACTACTACTACTACTATCTCAGACTAATTCTCACTACTACTACTACTACTACTACTACTAACTCTACTCACTACTACTACTAACTCACTACTACTCGTCACTTAACTGACTACTACTAGCTTACTTTCTGACCTAATTACTATTAACTCTACCTACTACTTTACTCTAATACTACTACTACTTTACTTAAATACTAACTGTAACTATTAATTATTATTATTATTAAAGTCAAAATAAGCAACAAAAAACAGTTAAAATTGAGTTTTTCTCGACAATTACACTTCTACTCAAACAATAAACTAATGGTGAAAGAGAATGGCACAGACTTCCTCTATTAGTTCTCTATTTCCATCGGTCTCGGCTAGCTATTCGGACTTTCCACAAACTGTTGCGAGATGCCAATTATCTCCACTCAAAGTAAATTTTTTCCAAATTTTCTTAATTTTTGGGCTTCTTAATAGCAAAACGGAAATATTATTTGAAGTATATTAAAGAACTTTACAATTTCGCCATAAATAGCAATTTTCTTCAAAAAATTTGGAGCTGTTTGTAAGAAAATTATGTTTAAGCGTTACTGTGAATTTGAAATTTGTACCGTTTTTCACACAAAACTATTGAATTTTTGAAAAACTTCATATATCGACATTTCAAGTACATTCAGTTACATATGCAATAGTGTTTACAAATTGCTGGAAATGCGCATATTAAAGATGTGAGAAATCTTGCAAAAAAGTATATTCGTGTAAGATTTGGAAAAAAATGAATACTACGAAATTACCACAATGGAAGGCCACAATGCGCTGGCTGAAACGTTAGCCACCATGACATTGGCGCGGCTCGTCCCGGGTAGCCCAGCCAACATACTACGAAATTAATTCTAAGTTATCAACAATTATTATTACAATAATTATTCAACAAATAATTTCTTGTTTTGTCGATTTGATGCGTAATGAACGAGAAAACTCGTTTTCAACGCTTTTTGCTTATTTTAAGTTTTGGCGATTTCTGCGCCATATAACTAGAAACGAAAAAAAAGTTAAATACAAAAGTAAAGTTCTTTTTTCGGAGAATCCGAATCTGCCATAAAATGGGGGTTTGCACTTAACTTTTTACTTTCCCCTACACGTAATTATATGCGTACTGTATGTCCTGTTCGTACGTAGTATACAGAGAGTTATGGAATCCTGCTGCAAACATTTTCGAAAAATTGGCTTCAATTTTTTTTTGAAATGGCAGGGTAAATAAATGTAGCGTAGGTCATTTTTCACTGTTAACTCTGAATTTTCGAAAATGTCATAAGTTTTATTTTTTTAGCGTCTATAACTACAGAATGGAAGACTTTTTCCTTCAAATGAAATTGTTGTCCATAAGTAGTTCTTTCATTAAGTTCATGTAGTTTTTTTTTTAACTTTGAGTAGTTTTCGTGCAATATTGCGCAATTTTAAACAATAACAAATTTTTTTTCTTTTAACTTTTGAGAGGGATAATTTTAAATGTATTCAACGAGACGACATAAACGCTATTTTGCTCTATTCTATTGCTTTCTCAAAAATTACAAAATCGTATTTTTTACGTGTCTCTCACGCCTGTTAATACTTACATTAGCCACAATTTGTTCACATTATTGTATATATGAGTACATGTGTTTTAAATTAGTTATAATAATGTTTCTCAAAAACTCAACCGTTTTCTGTTAAAATTAGCTCAAAATTCCGCATTTTCAGAAACACTCAAACCCTGTTTTCTGGCGGCTCCAAATGCTCCAAATGTTTTCAAATGGATAGTGATAATTGCACTGCATTTGTGAGTGGAAGAGATTTAAATTTCTTCGAATAATGGTTTTTGAAAACAAAAATTTTTTGTGAAAAAGAGATTCAAATTTTGCAATTTCAGTATCGCAGAAAAGCCATTTTCTTAAAAAGCGACTGCAAAAGTTTCAACGAAAATTTCCTGGTATGACAAGGTTTTACTTTTGTATATTATTCTTAAAGTAATATTTGGGTTCTACACTTAGGAAACCGTAAAATTGAGAGGAAAAAAATTTTTGAGCGCCGAGAGACGGCAGCTGGCAAAGGGATGGCTAAGATTATAAAGCTTGATAAACCCCCAAAAAATTCTAAAATGTTAGTACGAGTAAATTTGTGCAATTCTGAAGCACCTTTAGTTGAGTGTGCCGCTTCCATTCCCGGGGGGTAGGGGAGCGTGTTCGGTTTTGCTGTAATTGGATGAGCCTTGT